TGGGCCGGGGCTCGGCCGTGCGCGGGGCTCCCCAGCGTGGCTGCAGCGCCATCGCCAAGAGGAATGCTGAAACGAAGGGGCTAATGAGCACCAGAGAGGGAGGATCTATAACTTCCAGATGGCGATGAGCCCGTAATCCCTTTGGGAAGAATTAGGGATTCATCTGCACGGCAGAGACTGGAGAGGGGAGCAAAGAACAACGCCACCAGCTCTGGGAGTGCTGCGAGAGGCTGAGGGTATCCCGATGCCGGCCGCCCAGCCCCGAGCTGCCTGGCTTTGTCTCACGGAGCCCTCGTGCTGCTGGGAGCCCGTCTCCAAGTGCTGAACTATTTCTTGCTGTAGTTGATCGCATGTTCTCCAACCAAACCCCATCCGGGTCCTGCTCCTCCCGACGCAGAGAGGGACTATTGCCCTTAACTGAAAGACTTCTGTCTTCTTCTGTTTATGTCCCGTGGGATTGTTAAGCATCATTCTTGCTGGATTTTATTTCCCATCAAAGCGCGTTTTGAGGAATTACAGGCTTATTCCTATGGCTTTATAAACTGCCAGGATCCAAAGGTCTCTGCCTTCCGCATCACTGCTGCTCCCACCTGTCTGCGATGGGGCGAGAGCAGGAGCTGATCCAGGCCGTGAAGAACAGGGATGTACCCAGCGTGCAGAAACTGGTGGCCAAGATCAAGGCATCCAAGAGCAGTGAGTACCTGGGTGCAGAGCTGTCAGCTTCATCTCCTTGGCCGGGCACTTCTGCCTGTCCCGGGGTGCAGGTCCCAGCAATGGACTTGGTGCTGTCCAAACTGGGGTGCAAGTGCTGACTCTGCACCCCATCCCACAAGCTGTGCTGCAGCTGGAGGTGGGAATGCAATTGCAGCCCATGCAGATGGATGACCGGGCTGTAAGTGATCCTCCTGGCAGGGCTAGGGTTCCCCTTGGGCTCCAGGCCAGGGGCCCTGAAATGTGGGTCACTGAGTAAGGATGAGTGGAGGGAAGGTGGGCTCCCTTGGGGGGGGATGCTTCTACAAAGAGTCTTTAGCAATTGCTGCTCACTCCTGGCCATATTTATCTTGTGAAAAATTATCATCCTAGCCAGTCGACTGGAACCAATCGCCAAGCCTTGAATTTCAGTGTGGTAATGTTTAACCCTTCAGCAGGGCTGTTCTCTTGCGTGTGCTCTCAGAAAGGTCAGCAGCAAGCACAACTCAGAGTGAATGTCTGGCTTGCTGGGGTGCCCAAGGGCACCAGAGTCCAGCAGGCGCCGCATAGTGTCTGGAGATGGGGAGGGTGAAAAGGTGGAGGAGCAGATCACAGCCAGTGCCACGGTGCCCTTGTAGGGAGCTGAACTCCTGGTCACTTCTCGTGACCTGCCAAGAGAAAGAAACTGGGAAAAGTAAACAAAAGGGTGCTCAGTGTGGTGTGTGGCTGGGTGAAGGTGCACGGTGCCTGTCCAGGCTGTGGGAGCAGAGGGAGGCTATGGGGTGTGGGACCCCCCTGCTAGGACTGCACATCGTGGGGGGTCTCCTGGGTGTGTGCGGGAAAGCTGGAGGGAAGAAGAATGTTCTGGGGAGAGAGAGGGGAAACTTGGACAGGAGAAACAGCTTTAAGACTTCTTAGGATCAGCTCAAGGTGGAAAGGCTGGCGATGAAACTCTCCTGGGTCAGCTGCTGGAAGGCTTTGGGGGCAAAACTTTGCAAATCCTGACTGCTGGGCCTGCAGGAGGGCTAGGGACCACCTTCTCCGAAGAACAGGGGTGCCTGGTGCCCCCTCCCCAGGTGAAGGTACTGGATGCCATTGCCTCCACTTGCAGCTCAGGGACTGTGCCCATACAGGGTCCCTGAACTGGAATGAGAGAGGTTTGTGTGCACAGGTGGGTTGAAGGACACCCCCAAGGCAGTAAATAACGTCAGAACGTAAACGTCCCACCAGTTGACACAGCCCTGTTCCCCCAAGCTGGTGTCCTGTGGCTGGGCAGGTCAGGGTGCCTGCAGCTTTCCTTCCCCTGTGCACCCAGAGGGGTGAAGTTGCACTTGTTTTCTCCAGTCCCCTCTGGTAACTCTCCTGGTTAAAGCTTGTCTGTATTTTCTCTCTGGCGTTTTCCCCTCCTTCCAGCCGTGGGGCACCCCATGAATGTGTGTGTTTAACTCCCACACTGCAGCGGCGTCAGCAGCTCCCTCTGCTTATTTTCATTTTATTCCTTTGTAAGGAGAAAGGAGCAAAAAGCCCAGACCCCTGCAAGGCCACCACTGCAAGCCCTCAGTGGGGCTCCCATGCTGGACCCACCAAGGGGGGCTTGTGTGGCCCTAGGGGCTCATCCCTTGCATGGAGGACATCACTGTTCCCCATCCCTTACTGTTCCCTCCTCTCCCTGGTGCCATGTGAGCCACACGTTGGCTGCATTTGCTGCTTGTTGAAGTGTCTTTTCCATATGACGGACCGAGATGCTGATTATTATTATTATTATTATTATTTTAAAATCCCTCTAAGAGTCCTTCTGCTGTCTCAGTGGATTGGAAGCTCAGTTGCTGTGATCAGCCCTCCGGGGCTTCCTGTGCCTAAAAAAGTCACCGCACGTAAGCAAAAATCAAGCTGCAGTCCCGGCAGCAGGAACTTCAGGGACACGTTGTTTAATATTCACCGTGCTCAGCCCTCCTCCCCGCGCAAGCGCTGCTGTGCAAGTGGGTCACAGCACCTATTATTATAAGGCGGTGGGGCAGGCAGGGAAGAAGTTTTAGGGACAGGAGGGGAAGGGCAGGCAAGGGCGGAGGTCCCACCTGTGGGAAGGGGGTGGCGGGACAATACCGTGGTTGCTTCTCCAGCCAGAGATTTGGGGTCTCCTCCAGGAGAACCAGGTTGCTCCAGCCAAGCTGCTCTTGCAGAGCCAGCAGCACTTTGCTGAAGTTCCCTAGCACACCAATAGAAACGTCCTGCTTTTTAATTTCCTTCTCTCTCTCTCCCTCTCCCCTCCCCTCCCCTCCGCGTCGGAGCTGCAGAGTTTAATTGAAATTGTTAAACGACCCGTCACGGCTTTGGCCTTTCTCCCTGTTGATCAATCACGTCCCTGGGCTGGCTGCGCTCACCAACAATGCGCCAGTTGGCCGGGCTGGGGCGGCTGCCGAGGCACCAAGAGGCTGGGGCTCCCGGGGGGAGGTGAGGGGCAGAGCCCCCTGGCCGGGAATCTCATCCCTGGGGAGGGGTGGCAGCCCCAAGCCAAATGGTGCCCAGCAAGGTTTGCATCTCCCCATCCCTGGAGGTGCAGGGCACGGGGGGATGTTGGGGTGATGCTGGGGATGTGTGTGATGGCCTCACCATAGCTGGGGGTTGGAGGAGCCGTGGAAGGCGCCAGGAGCTGGACTCACTATTTGCCTTCCTTGAGGGAGTGGTAAAGGTTTTTGTTTAAACGTGCACCAAGTGCAAAGAAAGGGTGGCAGCTGAGCAAACTGGTGTTCTACTCTCAAGGATAGGGAGGGAAGCCCTGCCGCAGTTCAGCTGCAGCCTTGGGGAGGTCTGGCCAGCTTCAGCCAGCCCTTTGCCCTGTTTCATGAGTGTCTTGTCCCATTTCACCAGCTATGTTGGTGCTTTCCAGTCCTCGGATGTATCAAGGACAGGGAACAGATGCCTGGGACTCTGCTCTGCCCTGATAATGACCTAGCAAGCTGTTAAACACTAGTGAAACTGCGGGGGGGGGGGTCTTGGCTTTATCCTCACACCTGGGTTGTTGCCCCCTATTACTGCATCCTGGCTGCAACAAAGCATAGCAAGGTTTTCCCAGGAGTGGTGCCTGCGCTTGGATGCTGCTGCTGCTGCCACCCATCTGACTGGGTAGGAGAGGGACAGTGCTGCTCTGCATGCATGAAACTGCAGCAGGCAGATGTGGGATAACTCGCTCCCTCCCTCTTAATTTTTCCCCTAATCCCTAGTAGCTATATCAGCTTAAGCCCCAAAGCGTGAGGTTTAATATCTCTCCTGTGATTTGTTAGTCTTTGCCACTGGGACTCTGTGTCCCCACCCTCTGCAGAAACACCTGCCTTCCCTTCGTGTCCTGCTGGGCTTTTTCCTTCTGTCAGTGCCAGTAGGTCCATAGTTGTTTGGGGAAGAAGCTGTTCCTTTTTGCAGTTTGGGGCTTATTCTGAGATGCTGTTGGATGTGCCTTGTGCCAGCCAGCAAGCCCAGCACACTGTTCTCCCTCACCTAGGAGAATCATCTTCCTCTTCGCTGCTCCCAAAGGAGGTTTGTCCCAAGCCCTGTATGTTCCAGCTGCTCTGCATAGTCTGGCTGCAGGAAAGAGCCAGGACTGGCCTCAGGCAGGTTCCTTAACATTTCAGGCTCTGTTACACCCATGGCTTTCCCTGCTGGCTGTGGCACAGGGGATATCTGGGCATGCTGCCCGCTCCAGTCCTGCCCTGGATGGTGCAAGTAGCTGGATCCAGCTCTGCCACTGAGCCCAAATGGGGCCCTGGACACATCCCTTGAAGCCCAAGTATCAAGGACAAGTTCCTAAGCGTCCTCGGCCATGTCCTCCCCTCCTCTCCCTGTGCTGTAGGTCTGACGAGCTGGACCAGCTCCCCAGCCCCACGCCAGCTTGGAGAGGCCGTGGGCGCGCCCGCGGAGAGACGCCGAGAAACC